CACACACACACACACACACACACACACACTCCTCTCTTTCTTCTGTCTTTGTGAGGACCCTCCCGAGCCCCTGACCCTAACCTGACCAAGACCTAACCCTCAAACAGCCCTTTGATATTAAATAGACTGAATTTGTATCAGGCTTTTCTGGTCGTATCAACGAAAACGCTTATCAATATACTTTATACTACAAGCCACATTTATACACACATCCATACAGTGTTACACTAAAGATTCCCAGTTCTAAACACAGTTTTCTCAGGATACTCCGGCTGGGGGTTAAGTTTACTGTACACTCTAAATTGACGGTAAGTCTGATATTGAACGTCCAGGACGTACCCCGCCTCTCAGTCAAAGTCAGCTGACCCTCAAAGGATGAGCAATAGATAATGGATGGATGGACATTCACATTCAAGGGCAATTTGGGGTTTAGCATCTTGCCCACAGGCACTTCAGCATGTGGAAAGGAGGATCTAGGGGATCAAACCACCGACCTTCTCATTAATCGATGACCTTACTTCTACCTTTTGAACCACAGCCGCACCTAAGGTGTGTCAGATCATTCACTATTTGGTGTGTCCCAAAATGAAGACCAGCTAAAATGTCCTCACTACCCCCCCCAAAAAAAGTCTATAACTCAAACTGGTCCACAACACACGAAACACAGAACTTTATCACTGCACACAATAAGGACTGGGACAGGAAGAAATGGATGGAATGAGAGCAGGGACGTTAATGGCAAGGAAGTGGATTTTAAAACTGTAGAGAAAGATATAGTGCATTTCTTCAGCGCCTGCAGTTATTTCCTCAGGGCTCCCTCTGCTCCCTGGTGGAGGGAAAATGCTACGTGGAAGGAATTTAGTGGTCAGATGATGGAGACCATACCTGTAATTAACCGGCTAATGCTCCCTCGCAAGATACAAATGTTTTGGAAGACATAATAATGCAGCCAGTCATATAGTCATTTAATGGATTGTGTGTGTGCATGCTTGGGTGAGAATGTGCTTTGCCTCTGAAACACAGCAATGCCTAGCATCCAAACCTCTTGGAACTAAAGTCTAACAGTCTCTAATTGTGATAATGGCTACCCCCTCCTGAGGTATTACTGGTGTACCTCTGAGGTATCATATATATATAATATATATCTTTCCTGGGTAGGCACTTTAGGTTGGGCTATTGTCTAAAAATTACCAGCAATAAATCTCACATTGTCCGTTTTCTCATTTTTCAGCATCCTAAAGGAATGCACCTCTCCCAACAAAAGTAATACACTTAAATGATTTATTGCTTTAAGATGATTTAACAGCAGTGCAGGGTTTCCCACACAGGTAAACTGGATTAGTGTCTTTACCTGTTACTAATTTATCTTAGAAAGTGACCTATGATACATCATGTCCATCAACAATTCACTGATATAACTGCTGCAATACACATGTTGCGCTGTAACTAAAATAAAATAAACACCTAAATGCATGCCTGCACAAAAGCAGATGCTGTTGTATGTTTGCTCTGTATCAAATGTGATCAGCACATGGTGTCTGTAAAAAAAAAAAAGATTAATGAATGCAGACCACATGGTCACAGCCTCATGACTGAAGTGGGAAATCGTATCCCCTGATATTTACCCACATCTAAAGTGCAAAGTAGGGTTCTGTATGTTCTGCCACTTAAGGGCAAGCAAATGACTACAAGGTCCAAGAGCAAATGTCAGCATATTCCCCTGAGGGCGAGAGATAGATAGTTTTACGCATGATGGTATGATAAGAGAGGAGAAAAAGATAGGGGCAGCGAGGGAGGCTAGGAGAGACATACTTAAGATAAAAAAGAAAAAGGAAACAGGAGGAAGAGGATAGAGGGCGACAGCAAAGGAAAATGGCTGCCTACCAAAGCCTTCCTGGTGACATTTCCAGCAAGGTAAATAACTAGGATGTGGAAAAATAGCAATGGGTAGATGTGTCAGCTGGCTGCCAACAGTTGGGACCAGAGCCATGGATAGACAGTGTTTGGCCAGCTTGTTCAAAGGCCCTTACATTGCTGCCACATTTCTGAGGCTAAAGGGAGTTGGACACAAATGGAGCGTTATACATCCAGTGTGAAATTCATGACATCCTAAAAGATCAGTTGGCAAAGAAAACTAAAACTAACTAAAATTTGTCATGCAGAATGTGACATGATAACACAAAAACCTGCCTTGCCTTGTGGAATTCTTAAATAAATTGTCATACCTGCTCCACTGGCCCTTCAGGCACAGCCGTAACAAAGACATTTTAAAGGTATTTGGCACAAAGGAATCACACAATGCATTTTTTACATTAGCAGATTACAAAACTTTTTTCAGTGTTCTTTGAAAAAAACACTACAGAGAAAAATGCTGTCTTTATTCAGTGACGGTGAAACCAGTGTGTGTGTGGAGCTTTGGTTTGGTGCTGTCAAGTCCGTCCCTTCAGCAACACAGAATGGGACTTGGGGGCTTTTTCTGGCCTCCAGTCATGAACACAGTGCAAGCTGTCAAAAGTGCCAACAGCTGCATAGAGATGCAGTCTTACGTTTCAAACAGCCACTGAGTGTGAGCGTGTCCGTCTGTGCATGCCTTTGGTCTCTGCTGTGGCTGGGAGCACTGTCTATTATGAGATGCAACAGGGCGCAGTAATTACACATGTTTACATGGCCACCAGTGTTCTGATGAGAGCCAGAGCAAGACAACCGTCTGAATAAGACACTTTCTGATGACCTTGACTTGAATGTGGTCATATTTGGAAAAAGCAATGATTGAGTTAAGACATGGAGGTT